TGCATTATTCTTTGTAGGCAAGAAAATAACGGTCGAAGGGGTAATTGTCTGATCATCATAATCATCATCATCATCATCATCATCATCATCATCATCAACATCATCAGTCGTAGTAATAGTTGTAGTATTAGTAGCATCATCATCATTAATTTTTATTATCACCATTATTATTATTATTATTATTATTATTATTATTATTATTAGTAGTAGTAGTAGTAGTAGTAGTAGTAGTAGAAGTAGTAGTAGTAGTAGCAGTAATAGTAGTAGTATTAGTAGCATCAACATCATTATTATTATCACCATTATCATCATCATCAACAATATTATTATTATTATTATTATTATTATTATTATTATTATTATTATTATTATTATTATTATTATTATTATTCAATATTATAAAGAAACAATACACGTTCAACGTAAACCCAACGATTTCGCTACGCATATAGTGCAAAACTATTCGTTAAGTACTGAAAGTTTGCATTCAGTTTGTTGCTCATCTTCAAATTATAAAATAAAGAACACGCTCGTGTTCACCGCATGCTATTTTACATTTCAAATTATTTGTTATTATTCCGATCACGTATAAAAGGGGTTTTCCTCAAGTGTTTGCATGGTTCACTCATCTCTATTAGGATGCAGCCTAGCAAGACAAGAAGGTAACTAAAATGACGCAAAGTATTTCTACATAACATGTGACTGACAATTTGTACACAGTAAGAGCAATTTTGATTTATCTTATGAAATAAATATGATCATTCATTCATTCATTCATTCATTCATTCATTCATTTCACCAGTTTGTTAATAACTAAAGGCATGACGCATGTATTAAGATACATTGAAATATCGTTAATTTTATGCGGAGCATTTAAACATGCCAAAATCAAGAAACTAAATTATATAAACTAAAAATAAATTATTATTAATATAATTACCAATGAAATGACCCTTTTTTCTGACCAATATAAATTTATTAACACTTTTTAACGCCTAAAGTGTGGAAAACACAAAATTATAGAACTTAATTACGGGGTGGGGGAGGGAAGAGGGCGAGCGCATGTAGGCAGTCGAACTTTAACCACTAAATTATAGTCTTGTTCCCTTGCTTAGTATGCTCCCTGCGAGTGTTTCGCAGGAACATACTAAGCAGGGGACCAGACTAACTAAATTAGCGCAATTTAAGAACTGAAAAAAAAAAAAAATAAATTATGAAATGCTTGCCTATTTCATCAAAAGGCAACAACTCTTCAAAACATGAAACCATATAGAGGTGATGGATCCGTATCTGATTTCACAATCTATGTCAGTAGTGGGCTTCAAAAGCTTTACATGAGGGAAATAGAAATTGTAAAATTTGTATCGAGACAGATATTATGTACGCAAGAAATTTAGAGTATTCATTTAAAGGTCATTTAGAATAGATTATATTGCACATCTTTCCAAATCTTATTCGTGTGAAAACCTCAGATTCATTGTTGTTATAAAATTATAGTGCATAACTACATGAACTCTATTCGGTAAAAAAAAAAGTGTTACCCTAACTAAACATCCCATGAAACGTGTGCGGAAGTGACGTATAAAAGGAACTTGCAAGTCTCCAAGTGGAGATTATAGCTTAAGTGTTACTCGTCATAGCTTAAGTGTTACTCGTCATAGCTTAAGTGTTACTCGTCATAGATTATCGAATTACTATTAATCATATGCAGATTTATGAATTTAAATCACTAATTCAACTTGTACAGTATATATAGTTATCAGTGGCTAAAAGAAATCAAAGGCGAAAACAAATTAATACTGAATTTAAATGGTGACAGAATAATCAAGAAAACACATTATATTGTACAGAGTATTACTACGGTTTTTTTTAGCAGATATAAGAAGATATTTTGTGAGTGAAGTGGGGAACATTGCATTGTCTAGAGTGACAATACAAAAAAATTTCCATTTCAAATGTGAAATATTTCCTTAAATCTAATAAAAACCTCATTTTTAATGTTCTTTTTTAAAAAGGCAAAACCGTCTATTTGCATGGCTTTGTTTTTTTTTCCATTCTGTGCCAATATCGATAAAAGGAAGTTTCAGAATTTATAATAATTTACGACAGCAACCATTACCCAAAAAAGCTTATCCAAATAGTGCTTCAAAATGTTTATTTTGTCAAATTGATCACTTTTTCCAAATGAAAACGAAGAGTGACCCTTGTTAGATTGGGAGTGCTTTAGAAACATCAGTTTAGTCACATCTGACATATCTCATGTTTAAACAAGTTTTTAATAATTGTGCATTTACTTTCATGGATTCATATTCTTTGTTGTATTAATTTCTGCATTCAAACGTGAACTTTTTTGCTCGTGACAAATTTGCTGTCAAGAGCGGTAACCGAGACTACACCCAGTTTTCGATTGCAACTTAATTTCAATTTCCAATAAACACTCACCAAAGTCCGATCTTTGCATCCTACTCAGACAAGATTATAATTATGTTAAGGGTTAAAATCACTTTTATTAATATATTTAACCAAGCGTTTGTCCTAAAAACGTGTCCATTTTTATCATATCGTGAAAGGCTACAATAGGTGACAAAACATCGAACAGCCACTGATGTAAGTTTATTCATTAAGAATTTGCAGGATTCATTTGGAATACTAATTTATAAAACTAATACCTGAAGCGCACGTCCTTAGCAACTTTTGTGGTGCCTCCTTATCAATTAAATCCAGGTATACTTGATGGTCTACACATTTTAAGATTCATTGATCCTGACCGGGTTTTAAGAAGGAGTAGTAGATGTAGAAAAATATATGGAATACTGATTGTGATAATATACATAATGGTATATATATATATATATATATATATATATATATATATATATATATATATATATATATATATATATATATATATATATATAATAATAATAATAATAATAATAATAATAATAATAATAATAAAAAAATTGTTCTGAAATGATACAAATTTGAAAATTCATTTAACGGTTCAAACCATTCATGGAATATACTTCAGCACTGGTAATTTCTTACATCTGACTCGACTTTGTTTTAATTATATTCAAGTTTTCAATTGAAGCTGTTGAAATACAACAAAGATAACCTTGCATATATTCCTTGCTGAAGTATTTGCTATGATATCACAAAGAGATACAACTGCTCAGGTGGCCTAGTGGTTAGAGCGTCCGCTTTGGATGCGGGAAGTCGTGGGTTCGATCCCTGGTCGAGTCATATCAAAGACTTACAAAAATGGTACTAACACCTGCCTCGCTTGACGCTCAGCATTAAGAGGTTAGTGTTAGGACTGGTCGGCCTAGTGTCAGGATAATGTGACTGGGTGGGACATCATGCTACATGACTGCGGAATGATGCCCCAGTGCTAGACATCACTATAAACTGCCACACTGCAGACATCGTAGAGATATGACTAAAAATTTGTTAAAGCTACGTTAAAAATCATAAAACACAAAGAGATACAGTGAATAATGAGCATTTCTTTCTTTTCTTTTGGTCTGATGTTCAGAAGGTTTTGTTACGGTGACACAGGATAAGATGTAAACATACTCAAAGGACAACAAACACACATTATAATTTCATCTGGATTAATACACTCCATTTCCCAGACTCCAGACTCCACTACAACATTCCAGTTGCATTTTACAGCAAACAAAATTAATCTGTCATTACGTTACTAATGAATGAAATTCCTCGTCGGCTAGTATGGCGCGAAGCCAAAATATTCATGCAGACGACACCGTTTGTAATCGTTCTTGGTGCATTTTAGCAGTGAATTTACTATAACGGTGCTTTCAGTGCCATTTTAAGGCATGGGCACGCCCCCCCCCCCAATCCAACAAAATTTCGGTGTCGGTTGTGTTAGCAGTTTAGTACTATAGTAATAAATTTAACAAAATGACACACATGCATATGGGAATGCAATGCAATACTCTTTATCTGAGACTGAGAGACTGAGGCGCAATTCTGGTTACTTTTAAGGTTAGAGTGTGTTCCTGGGGCCCCCAAACTTCTTAAAATAGCTCAGGATGCATTCGGATCTAATTTTGGGACTATGGCGGATGTAAGCAGCACTGGACCAGCGGAATTTTCATTTGCCCATATTTTATTAAAAAAAATTTAAACATTTGCTAATGAAAGATTTTCCACATATTTAACATTCCAGTCAATGTAGTCTTTTCCATACTTAAATCTGTTTCAAACTTATATTTTAGAAGCAAATACGAACGTAATTCAAAACAAAATGTGTTCTGTACTTGAGTCTGATAAAGTTCTAATTTTTTTTAAAAAAATAAATTTAATTACATACCTCTCTACCATCGCGATAACTTCAGGCTATCGTCATTTATATTTTGGCGCCATGTTGTCGATTTCTATCGCAGATTTATACACATGTATCATCTAAAGTTCATGAAGTAGTGACCCTATTGATACTGGCCTACATGGCTGGCGCTGATATTGTTTACCAGGTTAATTCGAGATGTTTAAAATCTGTGCTCTGTTCCAGCTAATCAGACTCTCGCTGTCTGAGGTAATCAATGGGGTTTCAAATGGGACAAATTAAGTTATACCCTGATGCAATTTGAAAGTTGATGCAAGTAGGAAAAACTAATTGTTTTACATTTGTTCATTTTATATAATTTGTGCATTTATTTTTTAAAATTTATTATTTCTTAATTATATACATATTTTTAAGTAAACAATAAAAAACAAATATTTTTTTTTAAAAAAAGCATTGCAATAGTTTGAATCGTCATAGTGCGAGTGTATGTCACTGATATCATTCTCTTTCATAATACTGAATGGTATATATATATATATATATATATATATATATATATATATATATATATATATATATATATATATATATATATATATATAAACACACACACACACACACACACATAGCGTTACAGGGCATTATGACTATTGCATTAATTCTTACGAAATTACTTGTCTCCTAGACTGCTCAGGTGGTCTAGTAGTTAGAGCATCCGCCTCGTTTGCGGAAGGTCGCAGGTTCGAACCCCGGCCGAATCATACCAAAGACATAAAAACGACAAACAGCTGCCTCGCTTGGCGCTGAGGATTTAAGAGGTTAGTTGTTGGACTGATCGGACTGGAGGCTGGATATTGTGACTGGATGAGACATCATACTACATGTCTGCAGTATGATGCTCCGGTGCTAGATTTCACTTTAAACCAGAAATCTCAAACTCAAACCATCTTGCAGGCCGCATAAAGGCATTTTCGATGGTCCAAGGGTCGTACCACCTTTTTTTTTTATCTCTCATAACACCTTATGACTTCAATCATTTTGCGGGCCACAGTATACGGCTTGGCGGGCCGCATGCGACCGGTGAGCCGATTGTTTGAGACCCCTGCTTTAAATTGTCACACTGCAGACATCGTAGCGAAATGACTGAAAAATCATTAAAGCTACGTTCAAAATTCATATAACACACACACACACACACACACACACACACACACACGTACGTACAACACTGAAAACAACGATTTTGGAACGTATTAACTTAAATTGTGAACGAAGAATAATTTTCATTGCTTTTATTACTGGTGTTTTCTATCTACGCCAAATAAATAGAATCATTTAAAAAAAGGAAAACGAAACATTAATAATAACAATCAATTAGGCAATAAATAAATATGGAAAATCAAGAAATACGAACGATTGCCTCTAATCCTCCAAATTCAATGCAAACTTAAAAGCAGGTTACATGTATTAAACTACATGAACAAACCTTCTTGCATATACAAATCCAAGCTGTTTCAAGAATAGTGCCAATATCAGTATAGTTTAATTAGTATAATCTTAATTAATATAATCAATGTATGATTAAGCAATTATAAGACTTTGAAAATGATAAGTTTTAAAAATTTCATAAAGGTAATCACACACTCTTTTTTCCGGAAAGTCTTTGAACAAAAAAAAGTAATTTTTATTAAGAAAATTAAAGTTTAACTTCCAACATTTTTAGGTGCATTCATTAAACTAAAAAGAACTGCTAAGGATAAGTAAACACGGATCTTACAGTTGATAATCTCGTACCTAACTGTAACACATAACATTGATCATTTTAATATCTTAATTAAGGAAACGGGGCGGCTAGAACACTCAAAAAGTTTATAAATAAATGATAATTCTGACAAAAAGTTTTAAGAACTATTATTTGTTAATCTTTTAAAAGTTATAACAGTCGATAATATGTCTTTCTCTTAGGCATATAGTAGAATTTATACAATTTATATTTCTTGGTGTTTTCTTAGTATTTTGGTAAAGAATAGTTTGAATATCTTGTAATTATTTGCTGAATATTGTGTTTAGAAATAAAAGTCTGGAAATCTCTGTTGATATAGAAAGCGAAGTATATAAATCTATGTATAAAGTAGCTTTATATATTTTTCTTTTTTTGTCTATTCACATGTATAGTTTAATTAGCAAATGCTGAATGTTTATTTCATATTATAAAACAGGTCAAGAGGCGATGGGCTCGTTTTTTAAACAACAAGAAATGCTCTCAAACATTCATATACCCACTCTCGCGCATCTCTACATTCCTCTGTGGTGGAACGCAAAACATGAACAACGTTACCTATTTCACCTATCTTGAGCAACATCCTAGCCAAGTCCTACTTTCAATTTCTATATCCCCCTAGGCGCCCCTTAGGAATAATTTGATTGGTTCCTACTAAACGATACTGATTTTTATGTGTGATCATATATTTAAGCGGGAATTCCTCAGTGCTGTGTGTCATGAAAGAAGAAAATAGCAGGACGAAAAGTCCACAATTTTGGGGAGAAACATGAAATAATATGGTATATAAATACATATGTAACTTCTAATTCAAAACAGAGAAGAGAGAAAGAGACAGAAAACAAACAGTTGTATTAATCATACTCAAGATAGCAACGCTTTATCCAGCAATTATTCTAATCTATAACAGTTGAAAACATCATCAGTGTATTTACTAGATTGTATATTAGGAAGCCGAAAATGACCATTTGTGAGTATCATAGTAAATGAAACAAAAAAAAATCAATATTTATTTCGCAGCAAAGAATAATATAACAAGATAAAACCTTGAAGGTGGATATAAAAGCATTCATTTCACTAATATTGCAGCTCTAGATCATCTTTTTTCACCATCAACAGAAAACTGGTATAATCAGGTCTTTCGGAAATCAATTCACATATTCGGAATGCTTCCTTGCTTCCGTAATCATCTATATCTACAAATCGTTAACATTACCGCCATTTCACTCACTGTCTGCAATATATATATATATATATATATATATATATATATATATATATATATATATATATATATATATATATATATATATATATATATTGATAGACTAATAGATTAACATAAGCTGGAGTGGATTTAAATAACTGCAGGCTTCATTTATCTATTTATTGTCTAATTTAATCAGCTTTGACGACACTAATTTGACGACACTAATTTGAAATCTGTTTTAAATTTCACTTGTTTTCATTTACCTATACTGTACATCTTCATAAAACGTACTGCAAAATAGCATAGAAAAATGTAAGTAATAATAAGTTTGTACTAATTCGGAAATCCTTGCGGTTTCATGTAATTGTTCTTCAAGAGATCCTCAATAACGTAGCTTACCATACATACATTTGTATCAACCATCATGTGAGCTTTCATCTTCATTTGTCACTCTCCATTTCAAATATCTTCTCGGAATGACTATGCATCATTGCTTGACGCAATGCTTGACGGATTTATGCCGTTTAGTGTACTATATGTCCTTTTGTTAAAATGAGACACTTAGGGTCAATTGCAAAGGTCAAAGTATAAATATAAATTCATCTTAAGTACATTGTTCTCTTCGCTCAGATTAGTGCCTAAGGTATAAGAAGCTGGTCTATGTTATTATTGTACCATGTTTACCAATGAATACGCATACAACATTGAAATGAATATGGCTATAATTGAAAACATACGCATGAAGCCTATTAAATATACTATCTTATTATCTCTGAACGTGTGGCTTGAATATGTCATCAAGAATTTAGAAGGAGCTGCTTGATTATTTTTGTTCTTTTCTTTATATATTGTTTAATTACAAGAAGTTTTTAAAGTATATATTTACAATGACCCAATATTTCACTCTTTCTCTGCTATATCAACCACGTCGTTTATGTCATCGTATATTTAAAATTGAAGATAACAACTTTTCTGATTAATATTTCGACGGTGTCTCACATAAACAAACCAAATTATTTATTTTCTTTTACTTTAGCTTGGAAGTATTCTGGGAAGTTTGATCGTGAAAGTGGCACTTATTACTTTCATGCATTTTAAATAGTCAGTCTTTAAAAACGTTTGCTAATATAGGACTAATTAATTTCCTGATTTAGTATAAAAAAAAATTCCCTCGTTTTTCACGTATTCAGGAAATGCAATGTTTGTCATGGGAATTTGTCGACTGGTTGATTTAGCATCTAAAAATAATGGATTTATTTATTTTTCAGACGGAGGAATTGTAATAATTGCCATGCTGTGGCAAACTTCTATGCTTCGTAGTGCTCCAGTAGAGGTTTTAAGGTCAACAGAAAAAATACGGACTTCAACCTCTTATAATCAACCTCTAACATATCAACCGGGATCTTCTACTGGCAGAATATTTCAAGAGGAAACCCACCAATCAAGTTCTACCTCAACTTCAACTCTACTATCTGGAACAACAGAAAGGTCACAAAGTTTATTTTCTGTAACTGCTATCACACCAAAATCAATAGTGGCGAATCTTAGTCCGGGCCGTTCAGTACAAACCAGCATCAACACCAAGCTTTCAGTTGACAAGTCACTAAAAACAGCACTAAACATCGAATCATCATCTGGCGAAATAGCATTAACTTCCAGCAACACTATTCCCGATTTTGACCAATCATCGAAAATCACAGTGGAAGTCAATCCAGATTCAGTGCAAACAACAGAAAAAGCCAATATGTCTGTTGACCAGTCCTCTTCATCTACAAATGCCGACGGACAAACCATTACTCGGACACTGAATGAGTTAAAGACAGGTGGCACATTAGAAATTACAAATAATGTTGACTTTTCAAAGATGTCTGATGCCACTGACTTTTATATCGCAGAGGCCACATCCTCTCCAGCAATCGTTTCTCACGATACCAGCATCAGACGTCTTGTAAAGCGATACACAGGAGTGAGAATTACTGATGAAATGCCTAGAAGTTCTTCCAGTACCCTAATACCGGACACAACAGCAAACTTTGAAATAAGCACATCAAGTGGAACTATCACGTCTGGAGCATATGGAGATACGAGCCGAAAAGGACTATCCGAGATAGAAGCAAGCACTCTACCAGAGAGCGAAGGTCGAGACGGTTCAACATCACATCTAATTGATGACAGTATGCTGATTTCGTTTTTTACAAGCATGTCGAAATCACATTACTTGTCACGCATTGCAAGATCTCTTTCTTCAGCTGCAGAGTTGTCGAAAAGGAACGCTATGATTAGTGTAAGTGTGGTACATCTAGCACCTATCTACGTGTATCCGTCATTCTCTCGCTCTGTGTGTGTGTGTGTGTGTGTGTGTGTGTGTGTGTGTGTGTGTGTTTGTGTGTTCTATATGTCTTATCGTATTACTCGTAATATGATACAAGGATCACAAAACTCCTAAGGCTAATTATTTTCTCAACGTACATTCTCATTCTAAATCTTCCAGTTCCGCTAGAAATCACTTCAGGATTTAAAAAAAAAAAAATAAAATAACAACGCAAGTTCGTGTTATGTAATTTCTTTTTCCGCGCAGTTGTATAGTACTAATATGGACACTTGCAAAGCGCAAAACCAGTGGTTTCTTCTTACTGGCAATGGGTAGACGTTAGTGTTGTCTTTGAAAATTCTTTTAAAGAGAAAATTATTTGAATCTAATCGAAATAAACACGATTGGAAAGCGTGGATTCTGGGTTTTTTAAAATCTCGTTTTCACTATTAAATTATTC